CGCCCAGCGGTCCGTCGCCCAGCGGTCCGTCGCCCAGCGGTCAGTCGATCTCGTTCTCGATGGTTTTCAGCGCTGGAACCCGCCTCCTGGTCCACGTCAGTAAAGAAACGACGGACCGGGGTGAAGATGATCAGTTTCTTCCTCTGAGAAATGATCCAAATGGTAAAGAACCTGTTTTAAAACAAAATACCTCCCTTCAGATAAATAAAATATAATCATAGTTTATTTTTTCACTTCATCAGAGTTTCTGGAAGCTGATAAAAGATATATAAAACTTTTAATTTAATTCTACAAAAACTTTATAGGTGAACCAAGATCAGCAGATGGTGTGAATCCAGACTAAACTAAAACATTTTCAACTGATCAGTTTTGGATTTCAAACATAATAAATGATCATTAAAATAAAACGATCAGCTTCTGTTGCAGAACAAAGGTGCTGAGTGACTGCTAAAACGTTAAAGAAGCTGAAACTGAAGTGGTAAAGCCAAAGTTAGCTAAACAAAAGCAAAAGGCTAAAGCTAGTGAAACTGAAACCAAAAAACATTTTCAAAACATAAAATCTCAAAAGTTAAACACTGAGAAGCAAAATCTAAAAGCTGCAACTGTTTAAAAAAATTATATATCTATCGCAAGATATGAATTTAGCAAAAGCCAAAATCTAAAATATGCTAAACAAACCCATTAGTAGCTAAAACAAACAGTAGCTAATGGCTAAAATAAAGCGGTACAATAGCTAAATGCTAAACCAGCAAAACAATAGCTTAAAGATAAAACCAGATGAACACTAGCTAAAAACTATAATTTGTAAAACAGTATCTAAAACCTAAAATTAGCACAAGAGTAGCTAACAAAAAATCTAAAAATATCAGAATAGTAGCTAAAAACTTAAATTGGTCAAACGAAACCTAAAATAAGTAAAAAAGCTAAAACCAACAAAACAGTGGCTAAAAACTCAAATTAACTAGGGAACAGTTGAAATTAGCAAAACTATAGCTAAAAAAATATTAGGGGAAACTCAAAAACAAATGCTAAATGCCAAATTTGAGACAAGTACACTAAAGTAAATTTTAAAAAGCACAAAAACTTTGTTTGAAAATTTAAAGTCTTACCTACTGTATATTGTCCTGAACCAGCTGAGTATTTGCTGAAGTAGTACGAGTCAAATGAAATCAAATATATTTAAATTAAAGCAAATGCAACCCAACTTAATAAAAAATAAAAAAAAGTTAAAAAAAACAGACATTAAAACAGCATTTTGGCTCTTGCTTAATTAAATAAAATAAAAAAATGCTGGACCGAGTACTTGTCCTTGAGGAACCCCAAAGAGTAGGTAGTTTCCAAACAATTCTGGTGGGTTTTCTCCAGAATTTCACTCTGAAAACTTGAAAATTCTCACAACTGATGAGTTTTAAACGAGCACTAACCTTCCCTTCATGTTCAGGTCCATCTATTCAGGTATTAACGTCAGTACAACCTGAAGATCCAGAATCTCCTCGCCTGCTGGTTTGCCTCCTGAAGGGACTGAAATCGCCTCAGCAACCTGTTCTGTGGTGGCTCGATGGCTCAACGGTGTCAGCAGCAGGTCTCAAAGGGACGTGGACCAAGTCAAACCGGGGCTACAGCACCACCTCAGTCTGGACGGTGCCGGCTGCAGACTGGAGACCCACATCTTCATACTGGTGTGGAACGATCCAGGACGGACACCAGTACAGGCAGAAACTCTGCTCACAGGACTGACTGTTAGCTGCAAAACCTGTTTGTTCTTACTGGAATATAGACCGATTAAACCAAATTAACAATTAAATCTAAAGGTTGCTTTAACTGAAAAAAATTCTAATTTTATTTTATTTTCAGTAGAAATAGGGACAAGTTATGCGAGTTTAGGAATCAGTCTGGTTTTTTTTTTTATCTATTCTGTCACCAAGGAATTAAAATGTTCTGTTTTTGTCATGATTTTTGTTTGGGTACTCCTGTTCATCAAAGTTTTCACACACAAAAACAAAAAGAGTGGAAAGTTTTTTTGTTGAGACGAGTGGTAAAGCGCAGCTGTCTTTGGAGCTGAGATGTTCTTCACAACTGAAACATCAACAAGTCAGAAACTTGGACTTTGCCTGAACTGGTGTTTTAAGATTCTTAATGGTTTTCACCCAGTCACAGTTTGAGCTCGACCGTTTGTGAAGGTTTTGTCAGACATGACGTCGCACGACTTGAGCTCAAACCTCAAATAATCACAAACTCGTTTTATTCACTTTGGAACGTAAAAAAAAAAAAGAACCATAAAGAAGTTAACTGAATTATACGTCAGCAGCACATCTCAAACTTTGTTTTACGTTAGGAGCATCACCTTCTCGTTTAAAAACAGCGTTTGTGTAAAGGAGCAGAAGAGACGGGAGCAGGTACCGTCCGGGTCCTGTCGGACCCTCCCTGGACTCTTCTGCTACGAAGCCATGCTCTGATCAACGTTGCAGTCTACTTTAACATCGTCCTGAGGAAATGTGCAAAGCCTTCATTGAAAAGACATCTGGATGGAGCAGATGTTCTCATATCTGCCCATACCAGAGGCACTAATGCACCCCCATACCATCAGAGAGGCAGGCTTTTGAATTTTGAGCTGATACCAGGCTGGACGGTCCCTCTCTTTAGTTCAGAGGACATGGTTTCCAAACAGAACTTCAAATTTGGACCTGTCTGACCCCAGAACAGTTCTGGACTTCACCTCAGTCCATTTGAAACGAGCTCTGGTCCAGAGAAGACGACATCTGTTCTGGATGGTGTTCACATCTGGCTTCTTCTTTGTCTGATAGAGCTTTAAGCAGCATTTGTGCATGGATTGTGTTTACAACGATCTGTAGAAGAGTTCCTGAGCCCAGAACAGAACCAGACGTGTTTTAATGCAGGGGCCCCTGAGGGCCCCTGAGATCATGACCATCCAGTATTGACTTTCATGAGCTCAGAGATTTCTACAGATTCTTCTGATCTGTTGCTGAGATCAACTTGATGAGAACTTGGTTGCTCCTCCAGCTGTTTCTTATAGATGCCACTAACTTTAACAGCCTTTTGTTGACCCTGGAACAACTTACTGACGTGTGTTGCTGCCAAAATTACCTTATTATTATTATTGTTATTATTATTATTATTGTTATTATTATTATTATTATTGTTGTTATTATTATTATTATTGTTATTAGGCTTCTTCAGATCTGTTGTAGGACAGGCCGCTACAAGAGATCCTTCCTGTCCACAGCCATCAGCATCTAGAACAACTCTTTTTAATGAAACCAGGAAGATTTCCCTCTGGGATTAATAAAATATTATTGAATTGAATTATTATTACAAAAAATGTATAATTTGTTAGTGCAGACATGTGAGGTTTATGTTCCATTGTGAATAAAATATTAGTTACTGAGCTTTATAAATCATCGTATTCCGTTACGGTTAAATATTTCAATCGTCATCATTTAGGTTGTCTGAGGAAAAAGTGGGTGTTTTGTCAGTTTTGATTTAAAAGGAGAAACGTGGACGTTTGAATTTGTGCATTTCACGGTGAAGAAAGAACACAAGGACCCAAAGAGTGATTTCTATCATCTAATCTTTACTTTACGTTCGATGCAAAAAGTTTCAGCAACGTCCTGCAGCAGTTCTTACAGGCTCAACTCCTGCACAAATAACTCTCTGCTCCAATTCTTTCACCTGATATGATCAACAGAAGTTAAATAATACATGCAAAGATACACGTGCAGCAGCTCAGACCATCAACTGCCACTTTATACATGTCATTTATCAGATTTAATAAAAAAGATATAAGTGTTTACCCATCAAACACAAAAACGAACACCTTTTACAGTTTAGCCCTGCTCACCTCAAGAACCCCGAATAACCGCCCGGCTGAGATAAATAGAAGTAAAATATTCATGTTTTTACAGAGGAATAATCATCTAATGTACATCCTGATGCATGCTCAATAATCCAGGTTGAAAAATCTAACAAAGTGAAGTCAGGTCCTCTGGAGGACTTCACTTTGTTAGACATCTAATGTACAGTTACATGCTTTCACTGGGACCGAAAGTTATCCAGTGTTTTCTGTTTGGCACACACACACACACACACACATGTTTGTTTTTATATCTTTTTAAGGACTTTGCGTTGCCCTCCATTCATTTCGGTCCCCCAACCCTGACCTTTACCATAAACCGAACCGCTGACCCGTCAACGGCGTTTGAGCACGAGGACCAAGAGCTTTGTTCCCCAAAGTAGCACTGGATCCTGACAAGTTGGTGCAGATTGACAAAAATTGTCCTAAAGAGGTCAAACAACACGCACACACACCTGTTCTCAGGTCTTGAGGTTCAGCCCAGCATGATTTAAAAAGAAATCAAATCTGAACTGGACTCTGTTAGTGTTTAACTGTCAGATCCAAAACTTTGATCAAGACAATCTCTTGGCATATTGGTATTGTAAGGCCTGGCCTGGCCTGGCTACAGTCAGCTTGCCCTTATTCTACCCCGGACATGGCTGTGTCTGCTTTGAGCAGAGTGCCGCCTCGATGTAGATGGGCACCATATCAAAAACACGTGATCTCATATTATTTGTGAAAAATACAGATACGCCTCACGGTTTGTCCAGGGTACCAAAACTTCTTGAGAATCCATACTTAAAGCAACAACAAACAAACAAACAGGTCTGTCACACAATACAAATACACAGAACCCGGGTTTGAACGCAGGATGGACCATGCCGAGCTGGGCCTTACAATGCCAAAATGCCATTTGTGACCAACGGTCCAAATGACCAATGAGGACGTTCCATTTAGAACCAATGGTCCAAACCCTCAATAAGTACGCTTCATTCCTGATTCAAGATGGCCGCACAGTTAATCAACCTCGACAATAACAAAAGGTCTATAACTCAGTGGGTTTTATGAATATTGAGCTAGAGTTGGGTGTGGTAGTAGCTGAGAGTCATCCCCAAAACATACTTTAAGCCCCCAACAAATCAGAAATATTTTTTGTTTAAAACTATCATACCACGTGGCGGGTGATATGCATTTCTTTAAGGAAGGCTGCTATTTATATCTTTTATAATGACCAGCATTACTCCAGCTTACATAAATAAATAAAGAAAATATTCATCTTCAGTCAAAATAAGATAAAAAATTTATGTTTGACTGTATTTTCTTTTTTTTTATTTAATTTTGTTTCTTTCTGGTGATTTTTTTTTACGTTTGACCCATTCAGCCACTTTGTATTCTTCAGTTTTTAGGGTTAATCTTTATGTATATTGATGATTTCAGTTTATACACCTATTGTAAAAATAACTTTTTAATCTCTCACCTGTCCTACATTAAGTTTACTGTCCTGCTTTGTCCTGATGCCAGTCGTGTGTATTTACTGAGTAATGTTTGAACAATAAGTCAAATAAACCATGAATTAGATCAAACAGCATTTTGTGATTCTCCTCCTTCTATGAAGAACTCTGGGAATCTGGAGGTTTGGTTCATTTTTAAATCTAAAGTCCTTAAATTAACTAGATTATTTTTCTAATTCAGGGTTTTTGTATGGCGGCAGAGACGGAATGAAAACTGGAAGTTGAGAAAACGTTTAGTTGTTTGTATTTATCCAGGTTTTTCAGTCTGTTTCAGGAGGAAACACTGAAGATGTTTGCAGACTGGAACATAGCAGAGACCCAGCCCTGTTTGGATCTACAGCTCAGACTTCACAGCACAGTCGCTGCTTAAAGTTTAAACGGGTCACAGAAAGTTGGACTTCTGTACCGTATTTTCCACCGTACACGTCGCTCCGCCCTATAAGTCTCATCAGTCCAAATATGCCTAATAAAGTGGAAAAATCCATAAATATGTCACTTTGCCATAAACGTTGCATCTATTATGCGTCACCGGTGACAACCCGGAAACGTGAGCCGGTGTGCAAAAAATCGATTGGCTGCCAAATGGCGGCAGCGTGCACGGGAGGACTTAAACAATAATTTAACAAGATTAACACTTAAAAACAATTGTTTGTTTACTTGAAATTATAGTAAAGGCGTGTCTCAGTTTAACTTTTACTTAATAAATGCACTTTAACAGTCAAATCAGCTGCATTTCAAAAGTATTTGCTGCCTCTGAGCACGCAGAGGAAGGAAATAATGAAGGAGGAACGCTGCACATTTCTTCAAAATTTAACAAGATAAACACTTAAAACAATTGTTTGTTTGCTCAACTTTATAGTAAAGGTGCGTCTCAGTTGAACTTTTACTTAATAAATGCACTTTAATGGTCAAATCAGCTGCATTTCTCAGGGGCGGTGCAGTGAAATGGAGCTGATTTGACGTTTGCTCCAGGCGAGCTGGACGAAGGTGGCAGGCTAAGGCATTCTGTCATTAACAGCCACTTGTACCTATTGCATGACACAATGGCATGCCATACTACTTGAGTGCCATCTAGCGGCTGAAAATGGTAGTGTTCAATATTTTCAGTCAGAATGAATGAAAACCGTCATATCTCAGCCAAAAAATTAGTTTATGGGAAAAAAATCCAAAAATACGTCACTTCAGCGTCTAAGTCGCAGGGCATGCAAATTATGAATAAAACTGCGACTTATAGGCTGAAAAATATGGTAGTTATAATATCACACAATCACAGTTCAAGTTGGAAAATGTTTGAATGTTTTACCACAGATTGTTCAGTTTACTTTAGAGCTGTCTCTCAAACAGCACTTCTTTTATAATTAAACCTCAGAACAAAGGTACTTGTGTCTCCTTTCACGCGGTGTCTCTCGCTGCTAATGGACTTGTGGTTTTGTCTCAAATCTCACCCAGGCGCAGAGTTCTCACGCCCAGACCGTCACTGACTTTGCATCTGTAAGTTATGCTGACAGTAATTTTAGTCTATACTGGAACTATGTTACTTTGACCATTTTATTTATTCCCAACCACGTGATAGAAACAAGCCTGTAGATTGTTGTTGTTATTATTTATTCCAAGTTAGTTAAAAAACTGTCTGGATGCCTAAGTCATCATTTGGACCATCTCAGCCACCGTTCAATGATCAATTATGTATAATTTTAGCTTTTGTTTGGCTCGTCTCGTCGTTTGCTCTCTGTGGCAGTTCATTCTTCTTTTGGAAGCCCCTGTACATAAAGAGGTAGAGTGTGTGGTTTCAGATCAGGTCAGAGGGTTTGATTTCATCAAGACAAATTGTTGTGTTGGGGTGTTGATCTCTTGTCGAGTAAAAGATGTCGGCGATAAGTCTAAAACAATCTACGGTATGTACAGTGCAAACAGGAGCGTCATCACTGCTGATAAAAGTGTAAACACATTTTACAAAGCTCACGGACACAAGATACTCGTCTACAAACTGGAGCTACACAGCCTACTCCTACAGCTGCAGGGGTCATCAGTAAAGAGTAGAAACAATTAGAAAACTTTCTCTTTGAGAAGCTTCTCCTCTCTGAAGCGTTTGAACATGCACGCCCCAAACTGAGAAAGAAGCAGGAAATCCAGAGAGAGATGAAGCTGCTCCTTCCCCGTCCACGCCTGACGAGCGTCACCAAAGTTTATTCAGATACAGTTAGGCTGCTCCGTTCTGAAGGTCCGAGGAAGAGTCCAGCTTTCAGCAGAAGAGGAAGGAAAACGTTTGCCGCCGATCCAGACGTAAGCGAAAGGTTCAGCATTTTAATCTAAATAAAATCAGTCTCATGTTTGTGCTTTCAGACAGGAGCCTAAAATAAACTTGTAAAAAACAGAAAACAGTTAAATTATCCCGATGAAGAACAGCATTTCATGCACCGTCTAAACTCACTTTAAGAAAATGAGCATTGTAATCTTGAGACCTAATTAAATAACTTACTTTGAAAAAAACAAGTATTGTTTTCCAAGATGATAAACAACTGGTGATCTTGAGAGAACAGTGTTAAAACCTTAATACGTTGAGAAAACAACCAGTTCAACCCAGTTATCTCTACATAAATAACTTAAAATCTTAAGAAGTTTGGCATTGTGTCCCAAGTTAATGCAATACAGCAGTCCCTCGCCACTTCGCAGTTCGACTTTTGTGGACTCGCTCTATCGCGGTTTGTCAACATATAGTAAGATTGTACAAAAAATAAGTTGTACAGTGCAGTGCATGACACACGACTGTCAACTTTACAGTGATATTGTTGTACTCACGTGGTTGGGGAAAAGTAAATAAATAAATTGGGACAGGCGCTGCCATTTTGTAGTTTTCTTTCAATACGCCCACACTGTAATTGCCGCTCAACTGGACTTCATTTCCCAGAAGCCGATAATGTAGTACCTCTGGTCGATGCTTTCATGTCTCTTTAAGAAACAGCATTGTGCTATGAAACCTGGGCGCTGATTGGCTGCACAGAACTGGACCCACTGAACCCAAGAGCTCCTAGCCGGCCCACGAGGATTTCCAAACGGGACCGTAGGTCCGACTTCTCTCTAGAGCCCACCGGGACTTTTTTCATCCAGATCTGTACTCAATCTGGTCCTGTGCTGGCCATCCGAAAGTCTGGCTCCCTCCAAAATACGTTTCAGTGCTCAAGGACTGCACAGACCCAGAGCAGAACCAGACCTCCAGACCCATCGGCGAATCCAAGAGCTGCTAGCCGTTCCACGAGGACCTCCGAGTGGAGATGCACGGCGTTGGTCCAGAGCTCTCCGGAGCGCATCGCCACTACTCCGAGCCAGAGAGCCAACCAGAACCGGCAGGGTTGATCCGCCGAAACGGAACCGAGTTGGAGCGTAACTGAGTTGGAGCGGAACCGAGTCGGAGTGGAACCGAGCCGCTGCTGTTCTGCCGAGTGTGGTAAGTAAAATTTAGTAGCTACAAATACGTATGTTGTTAAAATGACGTAGGTTTAAGAGTTTAGAGCATTACAAGAGTGTGGGAAAGGTTTATAAAGCCTTAAAATATATATAAATCTAAAATAAATACAACGTACCTACTTTGTGGATTTCCACTTATTGTGGCGAGGTGGGGGGGGGCGGGGTCTGGAAAGTAACATCTGCAATAAACAAGGGACTACTGTAAATAACTTTTTAAAGAAAGCTGCATAAAAAACATTATCTTGAGTAAAATGGTCATTATGATCCAAGGTATTTAAACGACTCGTTACTCTGAGAGGACAATGATAAATCCTTATGTTGAGAAAATAACCATTTCAACCAAAGACAATGAGATAAATAAATTATTTCAGGGAACAATATAAAAACATTATTATCTTGAGAAACTGACTAGTGTGACCCAAGATAAACAGCTTGTTATTTTCAGAAAAGAAGCATTTTGAATCAAGATAACTAGATAACTTATCTCAAGAAAATGACTTGTCCCAAACTAACAATATTTTTTACCAGAAAACAACATAAAAACCTTATTTTCCATAAAGCCCCCAAGTTAATGCGATACAAATCCTGAAAGAACACAAATAACTGATTATCTTGAGAAAATTGTGTTTGTGCTTTTTTTTTTTCAAGTTCTAGTTTTACAATATTAACAACCTTGACCTGACTGTGTTAGTTTCAGATTTCTTTAAGGAAGATGTGATTATTTGGGGCAATGCTTTTGTTCTTTATGATAAATCAAAATCTGCAGTTTTAAATATATTATTTTACCTCAGTTTTTAGCACAAGTAGCGCATCTCCACAGAGAACACCTGAACTACCCGAGCTAGTTAAACCAGCTAACCTAAATAAATCCTGGATTTGTTGATAATCAGCTCAAGCTCTTTTCTGGAACACAAACATGAGAGCGATTCAATATTCAGAAATGCAACATGTTGAACAGTTCCTTCTAAGTGGTGATCGACTTCAGCTCAGACTGAACGTGTCCCGTCCTCCCGGATAGAACGTCCGGTTTGCACCAAAAAGAGGCTCCACACTCGTAGACAAAACATCTCTGTGCATCTGGTGCATCTGGACCGTTACAGTAAAAACTTACGACCATGAAACGTTACAATCAGAAAGTATCTGGAAGAGTTTGAGGGGTGGAAAGAAGTCCCAGACAAAATGAAAGTTTCCTGGACTTCAACAGGAAGAGACAGAAACAAACAGCCAAATAAACCCAAAGGCCTGTTTAAAGTTGTTTCTGTAGTTAGTATTTATATTTTTACAGTAAAATATACTTCTATAACCTTCATTACCTGTGCACTTTAACTCCTGGAGTTCAACTGAGGCAGGAAGTAAAAAGTCTCAAGTCAGAAAGTACCTAGACTTCACTTTTCTGCTCATTTCCAGCTTTACATTCATTCTGAAAATCCACTAAAGTAGATTTTCTTCATTTAAAGTTCAGGAGAAAAAAATCTTTAAAAGATGCTCAGTGCTGCTACTCTGTCCTTAAACATCTGAAATAAGCTCGGGACTTTTGTCAAACCCACCCAGCCAACCCTCGATGTGGCCTCAGCTGTGGACTGATTGGTCTCCCAGCTCAGTGGCAGAACTCATGTCGGTTAACGTGGCGCCAGGTGTTACACAAACTTTTGTTTCTGGTTTAATTTGAGTCCAGGAAGTTGACTAAGATGTTTGTACAGAAATGATGGAAGCTGAATTGTGAATTATTTTGTGTTGAACTTGAAGCAGCTTTGTCAGGTGAACACTAACAGTGGGTGGTTTTACTGCTAGGCTCCGCCCCTGGCATGAAGCCGTTGCTGAGGTTGCTGGGACTCGGAGGTGAGCCCAGACGGGGCGTGGCCTCCACTCTGAGGGCAGGCTCTATGACAGAACAGCTCTTCTGCGGCAGCCGAGGTTGGACCAGCATTGATTTAGGGATGACCGACGCCTGTCGGAGCCCGTCGGCACGTAGTGGCGGTCTGACGAGGGCGGGGCCTGTGGTTGTGGCTTCAGGGTTGGGAGAGTTGGGACTTTGTGGCGGCGAGGGGCTGAGGGCACTTTGGTCGTCAAGCTTGGATTCAGCTTGTTGTGGCACCTCCTGGTCTGGGGGTGTGACCTCTTTTTCATCAGGGACAGGACTTGTGGACTCCAGAGGGGCGTCCTGCTGCATGCTGCTCTGTCTGGAAGTTCCTGAAGCCGGAATCTCGCAGCTGTCGGTGCGACGCTTTGAGCCCTCGTGCATCCGACTAGTGGCTACGACAGCCTTCATGGCAGCCTGTCGACACAAACATGCATTTAGCAAGCGACGCTACAAATTAATTAAACTTTTATCCCTATTTTACTTGATTTATGTTTTTAGTCGAACACAAAATAAAGAGTAGAGCTGTAACAATTTGTGTGAATCACTGTTTAGTATGTTCCTCATGAGGTCATGGTTGGTACAGGCTTAGGTCAACGGCTTGGTAGCATGTTCAATTGCAATTCAGTTCAGTTTATTTATAAAGCGCCAAGTCACAACAGAAGTCGTCTCAGGGCACTGAACAGAAACATTCATATATAGAATAAATCATCAGAAACGTTCATATAATGTATAAAAATAATAATTGAACATTATTTATCTGAGGAGCAGCTTTGAGTTTAACTCCATCACAGAACTCTCATCTTGAACAAGCATGAAGGCGACAGTGGAAAGGAAAAACTCCCTCACGAGGAAGAAACCTTTAGCAGAACCAGGATCAGGACAAGAGGACCATCTGCTTCGACCGGCTGGGTTTGGTAGGAACAGATACACAATGGCAGATCAAGAATCACATGTTAAGATAGTATCAAATGAAAACTATTCAATTTTAACAATTCATTTAAGGAAATGAGGTCAATTTGTCCTCTAGTAGTCTAAGTCTATAGCAGCATAACAAGCCAACCCTAACTATAGGATTTATCAAAAGAAAGTCTTCAAACTGGACAATGCGTCAGCCTCACGGACAGAAACTGGAAGTTGCTGAGAACTGAAAGATCTTCCGCCCGTTCTGCTTTTGGAAACTCTAGGAACCACAAGTAAACCTGCAGTCTGAGAATGAAGTGCTCTGTTAGGAAAATATGGAACAAGATCACGAATATAAGATGGAGCTAGGTTTTTGAGAGCTTTGTAGGTTAGAGGTAAGATTTTAAATTTAATTCTGGACTTGACAGGGAGCCAGTGGAGAGAAGCTAAAACTGGAGAGATGTGATTTTTCCCACTAACTCCAGTTAAGACTCCGGTTTATCAGTATTTATCTGACACTGAGGCAGTTATAAAGGATGTTTAAGATTATCAGTTTGGCTTTCCATACATCCACTGCTGTTGTGGATAACGAGTAACCTGAAACTTTTCCACCCTGCTAATGTGAAACAAACAGGCAGGTCTCCAAGCTCCAGTGTTTCATTTGAAATAATGTTCTTGCTTTGGTTTGACCTGGAGTTCTTTAGAGTGTATTTTCCTCTTCTCTTACCCTTAAGTGGCAGTTAACAAAAAGCAATAAAAACATGCATGACCCCTTCTAGACGAGAGTGCATACTCTGGACCATGACATCCGTACCTTGATGTTTTGGTATAAACAGATACAGTCATGCCCCTACAAAAAGCTTCTGGCTTTACTTGAATGACAAACCTTAAGTTTGCGTCGCGCATTGAACTCCTGCAGTTTCCTTTGTGTCGTGTCCATGTGGGAGAAACGAGCAGCTTTACCCAGCACCCAGGGGTGCTGCAGGGCCTCACGGACGCTGAGGCGCTTGCGAGGATCGAGGACAATAAGCTTACTGACCTGCAAGATGATGAACAAGTTTGAAGTAGATGCATTTTTCAAACTGTCCAAACCTTTCAAGCACTGCTTCTTTTGCAGCCAGTCTCAGTCATTTGAAGGTGGCTATGGACAGTACGAGTCTTGCACCTATTCTATAGTCCTTTTGCAGATATCTGCTGATTGTAAAGTCGTATTGATGTAAAAGTTCAGTTAAGTTGGAAAAGCAAAGCAGTGAAAGAGCTCACCAAATCCTTGGCGTTAAGGGAGACCTCATCCCACCACGGCGACACGAACTCGTAGTCACAGTTGAGGATTCGGCTGTACATGTACTGATCACCCCTTGGGTCAAAGAAGGGCTCAAACCCACAGAGCCTGAAGAACATTAACATTATTCTTACCGTTCACATCACTGGTGTTTGTCAAACATTGAAAAACATGAAATGTAAGCAAAATGTAGGGAGATGAAACCAAAAAGCACAAACTAAACAAGTCTTAAAAATGCAAATAATCTAATCCTAACACCCCTTTGATGCCCAAATTATGTCTGAGGGCAGGCAGAGATGTGCAGAAGTTCTTATTGTTTCAGAAGCTTTCATGGCTGCTGTAAGACTAGAAAACGTCAATGTGAAATCTGCGCTGATGGGACTGAGTCAGTAATGAATCGGTTTGGTGTGTGTCTGTGTGAGTGGACTCACAGGATGTAGAGGATGACGCCCACTGACCACATGTCCACCTCGGGGCCATAAGCATTTCCCCGCAGGATTTCTGGAGCTGCAGGCAGAGGAGTCAGTTAGCTGCCAGATGGCTGACAGAAGCTCTGACTGAGAGGTCTGAGAAATCCCACAGAGCAGAGGCTACAGCGAATGCATCACTGCTCACATCCGGAAATCAACACAGCACAGGTGAATACGAATACTGATATTACAGTACTACTCATCATTTAACTTTGATACTACACCATTCACTTGTCTGATAGTTTGGTGTCATGCTGGAGATCCTTGGAACGTCTTTGATCCTTGGAGACCCAGACTGAACTGAAAACTGGTTTTGGACTGAACTGACACTGAATATTTAAATAATTTTTGGCTGTACGTCTACAACTTTAGAAGACAATCTGATTCAAGATGACTGCCACAGCTTAGCAAACAATAAATGTATCTAACCTAAAAGGTTTTACAGATATAGAGCTAAATTTGGTGTGGTAGTAGCTGAGAGCAATCCCCAACACATAAGTGCTAACAGATTACACAAGAGATTTGTTTGAAACTTTGGTGTTTAAGTGGACAAGTGATACAGATTTTATGACGTTTCTTTTGGCACTAATCAAAGACACTACACCCTGAAGTATAAAGACTACCTCTGATATCTTATTTCTGTCACTGTTCCCTGTTTCTCAGATAAATAAAGTTATTAACTGACTTTATAATATAAATGTTTTCATTCATTCCCCCGAGATGACTTCTGTTGGGACTTGGTGCTATATAAATAAATTTAATTGAATTAATACTTTTAATACCTGCACTTTTATTACAATCTGTACTACATTAGCAGCAATACATAATATAGCCAGTCTTACCAGGTAAGTACCTACATATTTAGGTACTTAGGTACAGACAGGCACTTTGAGAGTAGCAAATCACTTCATAATACAGCCCAGTTCCTTTCAGTACCAGATACGTACCCAGTATGTACTGTACCAGATAGTATAAGGTACATATCAGGGGCGTACTAAATAATAAACCCAGTATATATAAGGTAAGTGCCATGTATGTATCTTGTATGTGCCTAGTACTTACAGGGTACCTAGCTAGTATCTACTGGGTATCTGGTTCTCATTGAAACCAGAATGTTATTGGAAATGACTTGATAACTTATTCTTATAGGGTATGTACTCAGGTACTTAGTGTAAGTACTTAGGGTACTTAAGTATTTCCAGGTTCTTACAGAAAAATGTCACATCATAATACAGCCTGCTTCTCGTAGGTACCAGGTATGTATCTGATAATTACAGGGTACCTACTTGGTACCCACAAGTACTTACATGGTACCTTCGAGGGTTAGGCTGTATTATGAAGTGACTTGTTAATCTGTACTTACAGGGTACAAACCTGTGTACTTAAGTACCTAGGTAGTTGTACTTACAGGGTACAGCCTGGTTACTGTAGGAAACAAATACATGCACAGTATATACCACATAAGTATCAGGTACATACCAGATAATATTGAGTGTAAATAAGTCAATGAGTAACAAGTCACTTCATAAATACTGTCTGGTATTTGCAGATACCAGACAAGTACCTGCAAGTAATCGTTATTTACCAGAAAAGTAACAGTTTTTTACTGGGCGCTTACTTGATAAAAACTGGGCTGTCATGTATTGCTAGTCTTAAAAGTCTTGTTCTTATTTAGTTTTTATTTTTAATACTTAGAAATGCTACACAGTCCTTTACTGAAGCTTTTTGAAGCATATGTCCAAACTGCACCTAATTCACAGAACTGAACTTACCACAGTATCCAGGAGTACCACAGACGGTCTTCATGGTCACCTGGTCGTCGATGATTTTGGAAAGACCAAAGTCAGCTGTGCGAGAGGAAAAACAGGACCGAACTGAGCCGCAGTATGCGCACGGTAGTTTTATTTTAGGACAAATGAGGAGGTGAAGCTGTGGAGGTGGAAGAGAATGTGTTTTTCTGCAGGAGGTTCTGTGAAGCAGAATAAAAACAGGAGCTTCTCTTGTCCATCTGTAGCAGTTAGCCAGGGGCTCGACGGCCATCTGGACCCAGAGAGGCTTCTCCAAAAAATAATGAGCCAACAAAGAGCCAACGGGGCGGCTCTAAATCTGATGCTCCTCGAATAGACTAAACCAGGCAGGAGGCTGTTTACTGACTGGTTTTACAAAAAGTGTATTCACTCTGATGAAGTTAAAGTCTTGGCTCATCTCATCAAATATTCATCACATTTATGAATCATCAGGTCTTTCATGTATATTTAAAATTAAACTCCAAAACTAGAACTAGAACCTTCTGGAAGATCTGAGAGCAACAAAATGTTTTGAACGTTTTACAACTTCACTACCTTTTCAGTCTAGTTTTAGCTTCTTCTGTTAATAATGAGTCAGAATTTTAACCAAAACCTTCAGCTCGTTCACAACTTTACAGCTATGACTTTTTTTTTTTTACTTTTACAGTTTTTAAATACTTATCTTAATTTAAAGTTTTTTTTCCCTCATTGAAACATCGTTTCAAATACTTGAAAACGTTTGTGGTTTTTAAAACCTTCAGCATAGTTGCTTCACTTTTAGAATTTAGCTACTGTTTTGCTATTTTAGCATTTAACTTTTAAATATTGTGGCTACTGTTCTGGTATTTTCAGCTTTTAGCTGTTGTTTTGTTGGATTTAACTTTTGGGTACTGTTCTGCTTCTTTTAGCTTTTAGCTTTTGTTTAGCTAAGTTTTACTTTTAGCTACTATTCTGCTCATTTTAATTCTTAGCTACTGTTTTGCTAATTTTAGCATTTAATGTTTCTTTTATTTTGTTTTGCTGGTTTGAGCTTTTGGATACTGTTCTGCTAATTTTAGATTTTGTTTGACAAAACTTAACTTTTAGGTATTGTTTTTCTCTGCTGCTGATTATCCATGCTGCTGATCTCATGCTGCTGATTTATTTCAAGCTGCTGTGTTCATTCGTCTTCATCTGCTCACACAGACTCATGTTTGTGCTGCTGTTGTTCAGCGTATTGTTTTTATAGTTCATATCTTAGATCTTTTTACTGTTTCTCTTTACAATTTGTATTTTTGTCAGATGTAACTGGGACCCTGTGCACATAATTTCGTTCCACCACATGTACCACATGTGGTGTGAATGACAATAAAGAACCATGACTTGATTTAACTTTACTTAGCTAATGTTCAGCTAATTATGACTATACAGCAGGTTTCATGCTTGTTGTCGGTAAGCGGCGGTTGGTTTGTTACCGATCTTCAGCGAGGCGTCCAGCGACAGGTCGGCGTACAGCAGGTTCTCAGGTTTCAGGTCACGATGAACGACCCCGTTCCCGTGTAAATACTGAAACACACAGAGAATAACAGGCTGAAACCTGCCCCGAGGGCTGAATTAATCACAGGAAAACAATGAGAGAAACTGGAAGGACAAGATGGGACATTAAAGCTTTCAGGTGATTTGACACCAAATCATTCCCAGACGGCCTGAGTGAAAAACCAAGCTGACGAGTCAGGAGGACAAGATGCAAACATGCTTCAGTTACAGACAGCAAACTAACCAAAATCATAAACTCATCTGTTTCATTTTACAGATTGAAGCACAGTGAAGTAAAGACAAACCGTTACGTTTAGATAAAACAGTAAAAGGTTTCAGCTTTTCAACAATTCACAGAATCTGTTTTTGTGTGTTTCCCAAAAAGCTGTTCATCCTTCACAAAGTCTTCTCTGAAACTAAGATTAGTGGGAACTTTTTGTTCTTCTAGCATTTGCAGGCAACCTGGTTCAAGATGGCCGTCACCAGGTTCAGTAAAATGCACAAGTTGGACGAGCACTAAAACACCTGTACTTGTTTTACAGCATTGTGAGGACGTGGTTGGTTTATAGTTTATCAATATGGGGACTTTTTTCTTTGTGAGGACACAAAGAAAAATAAAAATGTTTATAGTGGATCCGCTGCTATTTTTACCAGGGCGCCACCGGGGGGGGGGGGGGGGGTGTCAAAGGGGAAATGGACAGCCCTAAAAATATGGTGTACCCAACAGGCCCCTTTGAGCAGACACTGCTGTGTTTTGTCCTTATATTCACCATTTTGGATATTTTAAACCTATTTTTGTTCACAATAGTTCACAGCAACAAGCAAATAAACATGTTTTTTTCATTAAAAGAAGTGTCTTTACACTTGAGAAAACTTGTTTCTCATAAATGTTTTGTTAAATGGATTCCTTCAAATTAAAGATTGTTAAAAAAAAAGGACAAAACACCTAATGTACAGACAATTTATGACATTAAATATGTATATAAGAATACAAATCATTAAAATATCATGTCAGTTATTTTTTTATTTTATAATTTATTGCAGAGGCTTTCAAATCCTTGATTGGCTTTTGGTTTTGGTGCCACTCCAGGATTTTCAGTGGGACCATTGAAACAGTTCTGGAAGCACCACTGATTTTTACTGATGGATCACGCAACATGTTTTTTTTTGTTAGCTTTAGCATACAGAGGGTGACATGCATGCCTTCAAAGTATGCTAACATGTTTTCTCACATGAGGTCCATGTGTTTTTCGATAATTCAAATAAAGCTAGATAAATGTCATTCCCTTTAAAAACACAGCGTGAATTCTTACTGTTGAATTATGTTTTGTTGAAAGCTGCTGAAAGAGTTGAAACCAGGCTGAAAAGGATTCATTGTTGAACTGTTAATGCAAATCAAATTTTACCGCTGATATTTGCTGAAAGCAGAATAAAAGTGGAAAGCAGGAGACAATTTGCAGAAATGTGTAGAAAAAGCTGAATGTAGCAGAAATGGGCCGAATAAGCTGAAACAGGCAAATATTGCAAGATTACAAAAAACCCAACCTTAAAACAGCATAAATTGAATATAAAATAAGCAGACAAAAACTTGTATTAGCAAAAAAAAATTGTTTGAAAAGGTCAAAAAAGCTAGAACTGGCAGAAATGGCTGGGAGGAGCATAGAAAGTTGAAACTAATAGAAAGGCAAAAGGTTGAAATAAGGAAAAAATGCTAAAATTTCACACACAAAAAACTTAAAAAGTAGCTGAAAAAGCAGGGAAAACTGAATTTAGCGCAAAGGAGCTGAAAGGAGCTAAAGAAAGCTAAAAAATTAGCATAAAGAAGCAGGAAAAAAGCCAAAGGGAGCAGTAAAGGGTAAACGGCACTAAAGGTTTGAAGGATGCAAAGAAAGTGGCGTTAATTTTTTCAAAATAAGAAAAATATTCCAAACAGTACAGCTGCACAAATACCAAAAGTCTATGCAGGATTGTTCTGAAAGAGCTGAACATTTTGAGTTATGAATTTTTGAAATTACACAAAATTTGAGGAAAGAGTTACGTGCCAAAAAACGTAAGGGAGAAAAATGGATCTCGACAGTGTGACTGCTTCATAAGCATCAGACAATGAACAATTCAAATACGTTTCATCTCAACACACAGATTATGATTATGATCCAATGATTCTGGTTCAGTCCAGTTATAATCCAGTTCAGCGTGTCAGATCCAGTCAGTTAGCAGCTTTCCTGTGTAGGTTTAGTTTCAGGTGTTCTGTAAACGTGGGAGTTGATGTGAGTTGCAGGCAGCTAAGTTCTCATACAACACATCAACGTGCGCTGGCTGCACGTCTCTTATGTAACAGCAGCTTCCATCCTGCTGCTGAACAGATTAAAACCAGAGAGGATTAACACACACACACTGACCACAGCTGACCTACATTTAACAAGAAAACATACGCCTGTGTGTGTGTGTTAGGATTACTGTGCGGTTGTATTTGTCATGTCAGACGTGAGCGTGATGTTGATCTGCAGCACAGAAACACGCTACAGTCCCTGAACACATCATCGTTTTATAGCAGTTTGAAGCGTACCACAAAGTCCTGATACAGAAGACCAGCTTTATACTTCTGTGATGGCAACTGAGAAATACTTTTAAATGAATTCCAGCAGCAAACTTTAAAGATTTGTAACTGCATCAAGAATAAACTACATCTATCAACATTTTTTTTTTATTTCCCTGAAGGAGTTGTCAAATTCCCTGAAGAAATCTCTCCAAGGGATCAATAAAGTTATATTTAATCTTATCTAATCTAACTAATTGGATTAATAGTGAAATGACCTTTAACATGCTGTAAATGGGTATAAACAATGTCCCAATGAAAACATGGACAGTTTTATTGTGCAAAGAAAACAAAATTTTAATTACAGTCCAAAATATGTTTTTATGAATTTAGTGTTCTTACAGAAAGGCATATTACTCGTCATTTAAAGTGCCTGTGACATACATTTCCTACAGTTTTTACGAACATGTATGGCACATTATGCACCCCTTGACAAACTTATGCAACAATCTATAGTACCAGCTGAACAAGCAAATGCCTTGAATAAGATTTGACCTTGATTTGTGAACTTAACCTTGAAGTTGGGGTGATGAAAAGTGTATGTGACAGTCTGTCTAGTGATGATACATGAGAATGTAGTTTTGTTGAATTATCTTGAGCGGAGCAGAAGTTATGGTTGGGACAAGAAAAAGTTTATGAATGGATGCAGACTATACTGTAATACGCCTTCGCTGGGCGTATAAAAAGATGAAAACATCTTAATATTGAAGAAAGGTGGCGTAAAACACATGATTTTACCCCTAACTGGCATATTTTCTTTTGGACTTGTTGCAGCCAAAGTGAAACAGGAAGTGACATCAAAGAGGAACTTAAACTGAGGTCTCTGAAGAAGCAATCTACAACAGGTAAGATATTAGTTGTTTAGACCCTGATCCACAGAACCTCACTTTAAAAATCCAAAGGTTATTTCCCTCATCATCACTAACATCCATCAGTTTTTCTTGTCTGTATTGCTGTTTACAGAATTTTGTTATATAAATGTATCAGAAGAAGGTTTTTTTAATCGATGCTAAACTTGAAATAGGAATTTGTGTCACTTTGACGTTTCATTAATTCTGTTTAGAAACAGAAGTCTGTGACTAACAGCATGAGGAGCTCACACCTACACGAGCCGCAGAAAGACGGACTTCTGTTGGAGATGAGTGATGTTTTTCTGTTATTCAAAAAAATCAGTTTTTCTGTAAAAATATCTACCGGTTTCTTCTCTGAGACTTTTGAACAGCTCATCTGGTGCCATAAAAACTCCCTTTTCATCACCTCCTAAAGTGTTAATAAAGTGTTTTATTCTCGCTCACACCGTTGGGTTGACAACCTGCAGGAGCCATGAAACCTCCGAGTCTAAAAACAGATGGTTTAAAGGTGAAGTTTGGTGACGAGAAACGTTAAGGATGGACATAGATCCTTGATCCGAACCATAAAAGCCAAACAAACTGGATTATCACGGTCCCGAAAACTTGTTGCCAAATAAGCAACTGTCACTGAAATGAAGGCAGAAGATGACGCTCACCCTGGCAACTCCTACAACTAAATTAATTGCAGCATTTTCAACAAAACTTGATCAATTATTGTAACTAAACCAACCAGAAACTTTAGCAGCTAAACTGATACCAACAGCAACATCCATAGTTGCCAAACAGGCATAAATATCTATACCTCTTGTCTGTAGTTTCTGTGTTTGTCTGTAGAAGGCAGTGTTTGTACTCATTTACTGCTTTTATTTTGAAATCACCTGCTACTATAAATGGTAGGTGATCATGTAATTGCCTGTGCTTGTGTCTGTTACTAATATATCTCATGAGTTACTGGATTTGAACAAAACTCTGCAACAACAACAACAACAAGAAACATTAAATGTACATCTGCTGATCGTTGTTGTGGAGTTAATGTGATTCCAGATGAGTGCCACAGATAATCAACATTTGCACCAAACATGCTACAACTTTGTCAAATATTGAGCCAAAATTTGGTGTTGTGGTAGCTGAGAGTTATTCACAACACATACTCTGCGCAAAAAAGTTGATCAAGACAGCCCCTGTTTTACTCCCGTTAGCTGATCTCCTGCACAGGAAAGATCAGCTTTGAGCAACAGCAACAATCTAGTTCAGACACTGATTGGCTGCAATTTCTTCAGCTACAGAATCATTGTACAGCTTCCATTAAAGCTGCAAAGCGTAATTACTTTTTATCCCAGACCTCCAAAGACCATATAAGATTCTGGAAAACCATCAAATCACTTTCTGGCAGCTCCCATTCATCTAACCTACCACTACAATTACTTGTTAACTCTGTTCCCGTGTCAAATAAGCATGAGATTCTAAATTGTTTCAACAGACATTTTGTTGCCTCTAGTTCCTTGTTTGCCACAGTTACTAATGGAAAACCAACTACTTCTCCTTGAAGCCAAACAAAATCAAATTTCTCCTACAAGTCAATCCTCAGTAAACCATACCTTCTCATTTTCACTGTTCTCTGTTAGTGAGGTTAATAAATTGTTACAAGGTCTAGACTCTAGAAAAACTGCAGACCCTAATGACTTTCCTCCTTATTTCGTAAGGCTGACTGCTCATATCATTGTAGAACCAGTGTCCCACATCTTTAGTCTGTCCATAAGCCAAAATATCGTTCCAAACGCTTGGAAAACAGCTTTTGTTCTACCTTTACTGAAGGGAGGAGACCCCACTATACTGAACAACTATCGGCCAATTTCTAAACTCTGTATTCTAGCTAAGGTTTTAGATAAATTGATAAATACTCAAGTCATGAATATTTGGATTGTTTTAACATCTAATCTTCTCATCAATCTGGTTTTAGGAAATAAAACAGCACAATGACTGTTTAGCTGAGGTTTTTAATGATGTTGTTGAAGCACTGGATGCTAAGGATTATTGTGCTGCACTTTACCTGTCTAAAGCTTTTGACACTGTGGACCACGACATCTTATTTCATAAGCTCTCAGACAATGGTTTCTCAGACCATACAATTGGCTGGTTTTCTAACTATCTCTCAGATCGAAGGTGATGTATTCAACATAATGGTACTTCTTCCAGTTATCTAACTGTTAACAATGCTGTACCACAAGGTTCAGCCATAGGACCCACCCTCTTCACAATCTACATAGGTACATATGTGTAGGTGTAGGTCAGATCATCCCTGACACATCCTTACATTTCTATGCTGATGACACAGTAGTGTAATGTCGAGCTAAAACAGTTGCTAAGGCTTTCCAGCTTTTGCAATCCGCTTTCAACATCATCCAGTCTGATTTGTTCCATTTTAAACTGGTGCTAAACACTGACAAAACCAAAGGCATGTTGTTTTCAAACAGAAAGTCAGTACCAGCAGTCCTTTCTTCTATTTTATTTACAAATGGTGTTCCTATTGAGTTTTTCCATTCTTACAAATACTTGGGTATCTTGGTCGATGCACATCTCTCTTTTAAGCCTCATATTGAAAACTTGGTAAAGAAACTGGAAGTTAAACTGGGTTTCTTTTTCAGAAACAGATCCTGTCTAACTCTGAATGTTAGGAAACACCTTGTAACTGCGACTTTCCTTCCCTCCATTGATTACGGTGACATTATTTACATGAACGCTCCTACAAGCACCCTGCAGATGTTGGATGCTGTCTATCATGGTGCACTAAGATTCATAACTGGTTGTAACTATCGTACCCACCACTGCACCCAGTATTCACTGGTTAAATGGACATCATTAACTTCACACAGACTCTCTCACTGGTACATTTTCATCTTTAAATCACTCCTTGGTCTGATGCCTTCATACATCTCCTCCTACATGCCACTGCATGAGTGCAGCTACAGCGTGCGCTCTCAGGACATTATTACCTGCAGTGTTCCCTTAGTGCGGACCGAATTTGGCAAAAGGGCCTCCTCCTACTCCGCTCCTGTTTCCTGGAACACCTTGCAAAAAGACCTGAAGCTCTCGGCTTTGACCTCTCTAAGGGATTTTAAACAACTGTTAAATTCATGGCAAAAATCAGTGCAGACATGTTCCTGTTTTTATTATTTTACACCGTTTTATAATGTAGCTGTTTTTTTATTGTGTTTTATATCGCTTCCTTTACGTTTCATTTTATATGAATGTTTATTGATGTATGTACCTCATCTGTGTTCTTTGTTTAAAACAGGTCTCTCTTGTAAATGAGTCCTTGTGACTCTGAGACTAACCCGTAGAAATAAAGGTTAAATGAATGGATGAAAGTGGATGGATGGATGGATGGATGGATGGATGAAAGTGGATGGATGGAAGGATGGATGGATGTTGCATCTTACCGCCACGGCCTCCAGGATCTGTTTGATGACGTGAGCTGCGTCTCTCTCGCTGTAGTAACCCCGCTCCACAATCCTGGATGCAAAACACGATTGAAAAACAATAAAACAATTCGCCCCACCCTGGGCCAATGAGCAAGGCCCTTAACCCCCATCTGCTCCCTAAACAGGTCTCTCTTGAAAATGAGTTCTCGTGGCTCAATGAGAATACCTGTATAAATAAAGGGTAAAAAAATAATAAAAATAAATAAATAAAAAAGCTTTAATTCACCAATGATTTAGAGACGCATGAAGCCCATAAATATCAACATATGTCACGAAACCAACAGCTTTCAGCTGCCAAAATTTCTGCAACTGATAATTAGACAAATTCTAATTACACCACTTTTTCTCAGACTGCACCTTGACATTACAACTCTACCATCTGTCTTTTGCCTTTATTTCATAGACTTTAAATGTAATTCACAAAATGCTTATTGCTGTTGCCTGACAGAATAATATATACGTACATAGATATTATTCTGAATAAAAATGTAAATATTGTTTCAAAATCATCATGTTGGAGTTGCTGCTTGAGCAGGAGATGAAGCAAGTTTTGCAATTTTTTTAGATGATTATGAAACCAAAAAGCTGCACCAATGGAAGCATGCTTATTTCTGCAAGCAGCTTCTGCACAAACATCATGTATTGCTTGTGAAGTTCACAGAGAGGAAGTGTGTGTGTGGCGGGGCGGGGGGCAGGGGGGGTTGTTAGAGTTCCACGAGTGTCTTCAATATGGATCACATTAATTTAGGTTTAGTTTGTGCAGCTTCCTTCTCCTATTCAGCCTCCACTCTGGTGGATACACCAATGATAATGAATGCAGGGGGGTAACTTCTTGTTTTTGTTTTCAAACATATGAATAACTTTATTTGTCAAAGTTCTGTCACTGCAAACATACTTTACATCATTTTATCAAACTGTTAAACAGAAATATACCTGTGAGTTGATCATGGCATAAAGGAGTTGTGAACTTAGTAGAGCTGCAGATATGTAGAAAATAAAAGCTACTGTGACTGGCACTAAAAGTCAAACAGGAAGCACAATACCTTGGTGAGGGCGACAATAGCAGGTTAAAAGGTTAAAAGTGGAGTTTTAAAGATGGTATTTATTTTAAAACACCCAAAGTTTTATATAACCACCCAATGTTAACAGCTACAACTTCTGCAACTAAACAATCTACAACAACAATACCATTAACCTTAACATGGAAACTTATCGAGCCACCCAAACTGCAGAAACACCTGAACTGACTCAACGTTTGAACTAAACACGTCTGTTTCTGGAACTGAAAAGGCATGAAAGAGCCCAAACACCTGGGTCTAAATCTGAAACAGTGGAAACACTTAAATTTAATGTGGCCTCTGCAGGGAAACTAACCACTGCAACTCCTGCAACAAATGATGGCAACTTCTACAACCAAATAAACCAGGCAACAGCAGGAACACCTGAACCTAACACTGCTTCAGTGAAGAAACCAACCACTGCAACTCCTGCAACTTTGGCTACGTTCACACTGTAGGTCTTAATGCTCATTTCCAATTTTTTGCTCTGATCTGATTTTTTTACGTGGTCGTTCATATTATCCTTAAAATGCGACCTTATCAGACTCCAGTGTGAACTCTACAGTTCTGAGGCGACCCGCATGCACAGTAGACGTGACATCACACGCAGCACACTGTGTTTCAGGAAGTAAATATGGATGCTACACATGTTAGCATGTGTGCTTCAGAAGTTGTGCGATCAGAACCATTTAAATAATTATCTGACATGCTTGTTTGGTCGAGTGCTCATATTTAATCTTGCCTCTTGATGGCTCCTCTGGTGCAGTGTTCATTTTTGGAATGGGAGCGACGGACTGAAGGTAAAAACAAACCCAACTATCAATCTCATCATGTATCAATACAGTCCAATACTAACATTAGGTTAAGGTGTTGCTGTAGATTCTCATGCATCCAGGACATGGGAAATTAACAGAACAAAGGTGAAGCAACTGGACTTCTGTTCTGTAGCTGAAGACATGCAGAGTGTCTGATGAAAGGACATGACCTTTCAGACTACAGTCACTTTGAAAAACTGCAACTCAGTACCACATATGAAAAAGACCTGGGTAAGAATTTGAAAAAAAGAAAATAAAATCAGATTGTCACATTAGTCAGAAGAAGATAAACTGGCCTCTGCGGGTTGGGAGTGAGGTTCTGTCTCAATAGAGTTCAAGTATCTCTGGATTTTGTTGACAGTGAGGGAATAATTGAGCGTGAGCTTCACAGATGAATTGTTGCAGCTTCTGCAGTTTTGTGGACTCTGTGCCGGTCCATTGTGGTGAAGAAGGAACTGAGCTACAAGGAGAAGCTCTCTGTTTACTTCACTTATAGGGGCAGTTGTGGCAGAGTGGTTAGAGCAGTTGTCCTCCAATGGGAAAGTTGGGGGTTTGATTCCACCAGCAGTCACATGTTGAAGTGTCCCTAGGCAAGACACTGAACACCTCGTTGTCTCCGATGTGTGTCCCATCGGTGCATGATTGTGATCTAAAGCACTGATTATTCTCTACAGATTCAGATTAGCTTTGTAGAGCTCTAGTAGAGTGATGTATGAATGGGTAAATGAGGGCACAGGTTGTGTAAAACACTGAGTATCTTGACTAGATAGAAAAGTGCTATATAAGTACAGTCCATTTACCATTTACTTATGGTCATGAACTTTGGGTTGTGGCTTAAAGAACAAGATTATGGATCCAAGAGGTCTAAAATAATTTTCTCTGCAGAGTAGCTGGACTCTCCTTTAGAGATAAGGTGAGAACTTCAGTTCTCCAGGAAAGACTCGGGGTAGAACTGCTGCTCCTCCACATCCAGAGGAGCCAGTTGAGGTGGTTTAGACATCTGGGGAGGATGATCGCTAGAACACCTCCAAAGGGAGGTTTTCCAGGCATGTTTAACTGGAAGAAGATCCTAGGGAAGACCCAGGACATGCAGTAGAGACTACGTCTCTCAGCTGGCCTTGGAAACACCTCGGAGTCCTCCCAGAAGAGCTGGAAGAGGTGGCTGTGGAAAGACGTCTGGATATAACTGCTCAATCTGCAGCCCCTAAGACCTGACTTTAAAACAAGCTGAAGATGATGGATGGATGAATAAGGTGTCACATTCAGACTGTCCTGAAAAAAATCAGATATGAGTCCCAAGTGTCTGCAGTGTGAACGTAGCCTAAAGAAGGCACCTTCTACAAATCGATAAACCAGTAAAACAGCAGCTGAACTGTGTGCGTTCTTACCGGTCGAACAGCTCTCCTCCGGTCACCAGCTCCAACACCAGCGCGATGTCGGTGTCCGTCTCAAAGATCTCCTTCAGCTGGATCTGAGTCACACACATTAAAGAACAGGTCTTTGTTAGAAACCAGTTTTGGATTTGGCCGTGTATGTTGCATTTATTTGTGTGTAGTAGTCATGGATTTTATATGATTTGTCAAATTCAAACTTTAGGTTCCTTTGAAACCCTTAAAACTTTTTTTAAACGTTTTTAAGAATACTTAAATTAAAAATTATTTCTGTGTTATGTAAAGGCATCAAAAACAAGAGGATAGTAAAAAAAACCCTCAAAATACAGTAACACCAAAATGATGACAGTCCCTTTATCTGCAGTGAGAAGGAAATTTAGACGCAACTCTTTTTAAATTTATCTGCAAGATTGGAAACAGATTTTAAAAAAATGCAACGAGAGGCTCTGAGGGAAAATTATATATTTCAGAATGAGTGTAAAAATCCTCGAGGGCTGTTTGTTACATCAAGGCTAAAGACCGTACCCGTTCATGACACCACATGATGCGTTTTCCTGCTGAAGGTCACAAAGAGCCGAAGTCTTTCTCAGCTAGATTTGATTCAAGCAGGTGGGACCAACCTGAGCAAGCTGGTCCACCTGGAACTAGGAAGCCAGCGGTGTTTCATGATAAACTACCAATGCATATTGAAATTTTTTTTAATGTTTTTGAAGAAATATTGCTTAAAACTCCCCATATCGTTCAAATTTTCTTCCCTAAAGACCAACAGGATTTTATGATTTCCTTTTGTAAAAATCCAAGTTGACACAAACTGTGGGACATGTGTAACGAGAACCAAGAACAAAATCAATGTAAAGCTGCTGCCAGGCGCTCACTGGGGTCACCGTGCTCACCACACCCTTGTGTCTGTCACTCCATGAAGGCACTCTTAACAAAACATGCAGAGCAGAAACACAGACTAGAAATTAAGCCTCAAATTATCGGTCACTGTTAAAAAGCTTGAAGTCATACTGGATTTTTTTTTTACAGTGTTTCACGGTATAAGTACAAGTTAAAATGACTTGTCACTTCCTTTGAATAATGCTTTTATTATGAAATATGTCTGAGCTTTTAGATCTACGGAGAGGGCTTGGTTTTTATAATTGTTTTAAAAAATGTCAATGGAGAACATTATATAGTTTTATTTATTATTTGTTAATAAGTGTATGACTTTATCATAGAGTTAATAACATCAGTGTGTCTTTAAACAGATTTCTGCTTTGAAAATGAGACATTCTGACATCAACACTGGAGTCGGTCGTTCGCTCCAGCTGTGACTCACTTTGTCTTGAAGTGAAACAAAATGAGCGAACTGTTACTGCAGCAACCAGAAATAACTCCTGAAACTTCACATCTCGGCAGCAACCACAAAGCAACACCTTAGCAACAATGCAAGGCACCCTTTGCAGCGCCGTTTTAGCACAGCCATATGGTGTTTTTAATACTCTGAAATGCACAACACTGAGCTATTGAAGCAGTCTATATTTAACAAATCGTTTCCGTCTTAGAACTACACCAATAATCCCCGTACTTAAGTTATTAGAGGTTATATTGCACAACCAAACAGAAGATCTATTTTATATAATACCTATACATTTAGCAAAAACTGATGTAAAAATTAAATGTTTCTCTTTCTCCTCTGTAACGTGGGTTATTTTTATATTTGCGCAGAGATGGAGACAGGCTGAAGAGATATTGATCCAGGCATATCAAATAAAGCAAAGGTTTAGAGATACATCTTTGATGTTATTAGACCTGAAGTGATTGTTTATATTCTAATCAGGTCATTTTGCTGAAATTGAAGTCGTTAAATGAATGCTATAAGAGAGAATAAAGAAAGTATGACCATAAATTAAAGTGATTATTCAGAGATGTGCTTGGATTTGATGGCAAAAACCAATATTCAAATGCTGTGCAGTGCCACTATTAAAGCAGAAGCTTAAAATAAGGCTGGAGTATTTCACATACAGATGTTTTTTTATCACAGGAAAACATCAGGGTGACTTGTTTCCTTCTGTCTTAAAGCATCGATGTGTCATTTCCTTAAATACTTGAAAAAACTTGCACTAGTTTTCTAAAACAAGTGCAACTTTGGCTACATATCTAGACAGTTAAACTGTGATGTGTATTTTTTAAGAGACTTGCAAACCTGACTTGAAAATGTTTACGAAACAAGGTTACTTGGTCTTTTATAACTTGAATTTAGACCTCTGTTTTGAGTTTTGCACAGTGTAGTCATCTACATTTAAATGGACATTTAAAAATTTGAACTACTTTTTGAAGGAAAAAAGGGGGATGATTTGAAGTAGTCTTTTAATTACTTAAAACTTACTTGAACTAGTCTTCCTCAAATACCTCAAATATTCTGCAGAAGTAGTGACACTCAGCCTGGACTGGACTTTGTGGGGGATTTTCCAAATTAAAGGCAGACTCAAAAATTAAACAAGGTAACTGTCTTTTGTGGTAACTTGTTAAAAAGAAGGAATAAAAGAAAAATAGGAAATAATGCATCTGAAAAGCACAAATTCAACAGTCTATGCTGAGTCTGCAGAAGGTGCGTCGGTCTTCCAATGCTAAACAAGGAGTATACTGTATATCTACATGGGGCTCCTGATTTGTGCATGTATGAACCTACGAGCCAATCAGCTTCCAGGAAGCAAAGATATTAAGATTGACTAGTCTAAATAAAACATTCTTATTTGCAAGTACTCATAGTATATTCGAGTTCACATATGGAGTGTTCTTTTGAATCACTCAATATATGATGTAATGATCTTGATGCATAAAATATAATGAATCCATGTCTTCCACAGTTCCCTGAATTGACTTGGGCATATCTTTTACAGACTTACAACTTGCCTCAGTTTAATCTTACATATATTTAAGGCACATTTCTTAAGTGACAGACACTTTTTTCTACAGATTTGAAAACAACTTGCTGTAATTTTCTAAAACATCACAATACAACAAACTAATAAACTGCAAAACATGTTGGACATTAGTCTTCCACAGTCTTAAAACAAGAGCCAACACAAACATGGAAACAACTAAGGCATTTATAGATATTGAGCTAAAATTTGGAATGGTAGTAGCCGAGCTCTCCAACACGGGCTCTGAGTACTACCAGATCACACAAAATCTTTGTTAAAAACTTTAGCATAAAAGACAATGGGCAATATGTATTCCTTCAAGAAATGCTAGTTTTAACTTTCAGAGATTTATTATTTTTCTTTTGAGTCAGAGATACTGTTCATGTGTCCTGATTATTTTAATTCAAGTTGGTTTTTTGTTTTAATAATTGAAAATCCTGTTGTAATGTATTTTGATTGTTTATTGTTTTTCTTTGTTTTTATTGTTTTGGTGTGTTTCAGTATCATTGTTAAATCAAAATTTCCCACTAAGGAACAGTAAAGCTGTGAATCTGGAGTCAAATGGACATAAATACACATACTTACAATGTTTGGATGGGAAAGACGCAGCAGGACGCCAATTTCAGTGCGAACTATTTTTTTGTCGATCTGAAACAGAAGAAACAGTTTTATGTTCCGGCAAAATAAAGAAATATGGTCCAACAACTTCATGTCTTTTACCCTCACAAGCCAAAACATTGTGTCTAAGTCTGAATCCCATTTCTCCCCTCCCCCATACCATTCAGCCAAGTCCCTTTATGTTTTGGACATGTATTACTTGTGGACATGTATGGCTGTCCTAATTATTTTTGTGATGTAGGGTACTTTTCACAGTTGATATTATTATGTTGCCACAACAATCATTGTAATGTCTGATATATTTTGTATGTTTGTCAGTCTTCATTAACAATATTTAAAAATAGCAGATATCTGTTGTTTGCCTGATGAGTAGTTACAGATATATCGGCCTATAGATGATGTGTCTGTTTACAATCAAATGTATCTCTTCTTAAAGGGGTGTCCCATTTTACAGTAGAATTTTACACCTATCCCTTGTTTAAAAGGGATAGGGGGGTTACAAAGTAAATAAGGAGTTTGGCTTAAAAAATGAATAAAGTCATTGGTCTCAAACTAGAGCGTAGGTCCTTTATTATTGGGGAAACAAAATGGATCTTTTTCTCAACATTTTTATGGTTTGGTCTTAGTCAGTCCCATTTAGGACCAATATGACAGCTGACAAAAAGTCATTGGACCAGAAAATATAGGTTGTTGTTGATGTTGCACAGTTTTTGGTTGTCTTGTTTCTTCGATGTCTATGTGGTCTCTGAGAGCTTACAAACTGTAAATTACCAGTTGAATCTTCCTAGTTGTGCCATTTCAGCATGGTTGTAATGTTTTGGCTCAATTATTGCTGGCTTGGACAGTGAGCCAGATGACTGACCGTTTTCTTCAGAACTTTGATGGCGTAGGGTTTCTGTGTTTGTTTCTCCTCACAGCGATACACAATGGATGTTGCTCCTCTGGAGAAAAATAACAAAACAAAAAAACATGCATGTCATGTATGAAAGAAATAAACGTCAACAGTGTTGTTGTTTGTATTTTTTCTACTAAAGCAGGCCATTTTATTGTGTACTTTTGACAATAATTCATCATCCTCTGGTTCTTCCTGATGGTAACAATAAAATAAAACATAACTTAAGGTGTGTTTCCACAGCAGGAACCTATGGAAGCACCATAACACTTCAGCAACCTTTTCTCTGGACAAACCCTGCTTTTAAAAATATTTCCTTATTTAAACAGACTCAGGAGACTCTCCACTGGTAAAGTTACTTCATTATTTTTCATCCAACCTTTATTTATACAGGTTAGTCCCATTGAGCCTCGGGGACTCATTTACAAGAGAGACGTGATGATACGCCTGTAACTTCAGGGAAAGTCTGTGGTTTATAATACGACCTTGGGTCAGAACTTGGAGGATGATGCCCCAGAAAAAGGCCAACATTATTTTGTGATGCACTTTTTGAAGATGGGGACATTTTAAAGAAAATCTTTCAACGGATTTAAAAAGTAACACTTTGTTTACCTTTGAAATAGTGTTGTCAATCGATTAAAACATTTAATCAGATTAATCACACCCTGGTTAATCTCTATGCTGAACTTTGTAAGCTTGAAATGTAAATATGCAGGTTTTCATAAAATGTTGAAAAAAATGTTTTACTGTCAAACCAAACAGTTTTCCTTGTTTTCATGCTCAGCAAGGTTTACAGAAGTCATTCTTGTTTCAAACATTAAATTATAAATGTTAACTCAAATGTCTCATTAAGTGTCGTGTATGTTATCAAAACAACAGCGTAGTAATGATTAATCTGCATTATGTAATATTAACGAGTTAATCATTAACGTAACGTTGACAGCCCTACAACAAACAAGCTTTGTTGAAGTTTTTTAAACTCTAGTTTTCACCTGCATCATTGATGAATCTAGGTCAAAATGTGCTGAAGGACATAACCAGAATATAAATATGGCTTGAGCTGTGCTGTGAGAGCAACAAGCAAAATTATGTAGCTTTTCTTTTCGGCTCCATAATAATCACAATATTTACACCTTCTTTTAACATCTTTAGATTAGGTGCAAATTATATGCTGGCACAAACAAGCCCATCAAGTTCAACAAGAAAATAGTTTGTTCTCATTGTACAATTTAAATGTGACCATCCGCTGCAAACACATCAGTTACAAAAGTCACAGGAATAAAACAAAAATAAAGGCTTTGTTTTTGCTTATTTTTTCCTCACAGTGAAATGTCAATTTTAACAGGTGAAATACAAATAAAAAAATAAAATCTCACTATACCAGAGATAAATCCTGTTCTGCATTGGGTTTTGTCCACCACTGCATATTCTTATTTTTGACTTTATTGATTTAAAACAGATTTTTGGTTTCCGCTTCGGTCAAAGAGATGCTGGCAGTGTAATCTATACCACAAGTATCAATGGATAAAATAATAATTTAGACCTGCGATTAAACCAGAATCCTTTAAAAAATCTGGTTCAGAATGTGCTGGAGGACCTTTTAGACCAACAAACTCTAGGAATTCTGCATAAAATAATTTATTTTCTGTATTCTTGATGTGTTTTTTAATAACGTGTAATAACTGAAACATGAGCAAAATGCCAATGATGTAATTACATTGTTCTTTGTCATTTCAAAATGACTTGATTTCACCAGCAAAAGGCAAGAAGCAAGCAATAATGTTTTTGCATGAGTGTGTCTGTCTTTTAGCAAAATATCAAGAACAGTGGCACAATTTTACTGAAACTTTTTAAATTGTAATGGATGGATGTACTACAATTGATTCAATCTTAATAAAGATGACTGTCACAGCTGATTGAGTTAACACTAAAATGACTATAACCCATTCGGCTTTTACAAATACTGAGCTAAAATTAATTGTGGTGGTAGCTCAGAGTTATTTGAGAGAGCTCTAATAGATTGAATTAAATCTTTGTTCAAGCATGCAAGGCAGCAAGTGATGTGTGTTACTGAAATGAATGCTAGTTTCACTTGAACTGCAGTTTTTCTTAGCTCATGCATGAATTTACAGTTCTTTACAACATTTCAGGGTCCTTATGAGGTTCAGTAATATGCAGAAAATCAAGGGGCTTAAAGCTAATGTACACATCTGTTCTTGTTTTACAGCATTACGGGGACCTGAGTCTGTAGTTTGATGATCCGAGGACTTTCTGCATTATGAGGACATAAATAAATCTGCTATTTTTATCAACATAATTTGTTTTTGACTAGGTTAATTTTAGATTTATGTGAGTTCAGGACTGTTTTGATGGTGATGAAGTGATGAAAGCATGACATCAGGGTGAGGTGTCTGTGTGTATGTGAGTTTTAAGAAGGGCAGGGAAGTCGGGGTCTGGTATTCTGCAGGGACAGATGAAGGCAACAGATCCATCTGAAAAGCAACGAGATGCACAAACACAGAAAGAGTCCTGGTCAGTCTCCATGGCAACAGGACACCTTGTCACAGAGCTGGTGGCAGCGCGTCAGAATTTGCCGCTGACATTGGTTTACCGTTTCATGCTTCCCGAGACACGAGCAGCGTGCACAAACATGATGCGTGTTGTGTGTGTACACAAACACTACATCAAATCCAAGTGTAAACACATGTAAACAGTAAACAAAAACCCTATGAACTACTGAGGGAGCTGGTTCCGCTTGGATTTGATTTGTGTTTACGCTGGCTGCACAACAAACAAACAAACAAACAAACACAGAAGAGTAAATATGAGGTCTGTGAGTGGAGGCGGCACTTGAACCCTTCACTGGTATCGCAAATAAAACGGCATTCAAAATATCACTATTTAAAAATGAAGTGTCTTATTAAAAAAAAACCCACCTAAAATATGAAAACTATTTGACATCAGTTAAAGCTCTTTTAAGAATTTGAATAATTTATTAAAAAGTTTCATCTGTAAATGATGCACTAAGTTATATAATTTCTGTATTAATCCATTTTCTTTATCCTCTTTTTCTTTTCAGGGTCGTGAATAACTGGTGCTGAGGTGGAGGACACCTGGAAGTCCAGGTTCAAGGTACTTTACTGTCATTTGCATCACATGTGGTACATGAGGTGGAACGAAATTGTGTACCCAAGGTCCTAGTTACACCCACAAACAGCAACAATATAAAGTATAAAAAGAAACAGTATACAAGCATCTAAGATTTATACTTAACACTATTAATGTAAAATAATACAGTATATTAAACAGCAGCCTGAACATGAGTCTGTAGTGAGCAGATGGGTATGAAATGTCTCCAGTCCATCACAAGGACACATACTGATTCAGTCTCACCCGCACCAAGGGACAATTTTGAATTATAAGTTAATCTACATGAATGTTTTTTTAAAACCCACACGAGAACTGAGAGATCATGTGAACTCAACCCATAAAAGCCGGGAGTTGAAACTTCAACCGTCTTGCTGTGAGGCGACAACTCTAACCACTGGTCCACCGTAGTGCCCTTCTGTGATGTTATTAGTAGTTTTTTTTTGTGTTGCATAAGAATAAATATATATTTTTTAATTGCTTTAAAAATTGACCAGTATTTTAGGCCTGGTGCATTAATTTGACCCAAGGGCAGCAGGAGGGTAAGGAAAAATATCTTTGCCCTACAAAACTGCTGTTGTTAAGTCTTTGATATGTTTTTGAATCACAAGAAACTTAATACAAATTTAGTCATATAGGAAAAATTTTTGTTGCAATAAATTTAATTTTAGCCAATGATTTTTATTTTAACAAAAAATAACACTAATGTTAAATTAATAAAAATATAATATTTTTATTCAAATAATGTGCTCAAAAACTGTATAGTACATTAAGTATTTTTAGGTACCTAATTTCAGATTAGTTAAATTTTGTTCAGTTTTGATTTACAGAAGAAATTCAGAAGAAAAAGTCACATTTTTTTCTATATATACTAGACAGTAATAGTTAAAAGACAAATTATACTTTTTTTTTAATTGTGTGTTTTTGGATTTTTGCATTTTTCTAACAAGAACAGATATTTCTCCTGGAAGTTCAAACAACTGAGATAAGAGATAATCTCTAAATGTGAGAACATTTTTGCCCCTTTTATTTCCCATTAATCGTAACACACTTGGCCTCACAATCTGTGTTGACTGTCCGGAGGGGTCTGACGCCACTGAACCGATGAGATTAACTAACTTAATGACTCATAAAGACAAATGTTGCTGAAACTAACTCAGAAGCTACAAATATATATTTTTATACATTTCATTAAAAAATGGCATGAAGGCATTAATTTGATCATTAATACATTTTGATGCTGCATGTAACTAGTTTTACTTCAATAAAACCTAAGTAATGTAATCATGGCACAATGTACGTGTTCTAATCCCACATTTTGTCCCATTACATGTACTAGAACTTGCACTGTAACCAGTCTACATGACCGCTGGTCCCGTTCAGGCTCAAACTTCCAGGTTCCTGCACGCTGTTTAAATATTATTTATGGCTGACTGTCAAAAAGGGCATGGCCACCCCATTTCTCCACTCTTTCTGCCCTTTAAGACAACTCACCTCTGATGGATTAGATGGGGTTAATGGCAGATTACATGTTAAAGACCATAGAACAGCAAATTAACTATGGTTTGACCAGAGACCATGTAACAACAAGTTTATGGTTTGATCATAGATTGAGACTATATATATATTGGTCTATAGTCAATCCAAAGACCAATAAACCATATAAAATTTTCTATTTATTGCTTATAGACCAAAAGGTCAAATCATAGACCATATATAAATGGTCTATGATTGGACTATGAACCACATTAGATATAAGGAGTGGTACACAGTCAGTCAAAGAAAAGATCAACAAATTAACTTTGGTTTGATCACAGATTGAGATTACCTGTATATATATATTTGTCTGTGGTCAAACCATAGACCAATAGACTCTATTTATTAGTCTATTGACCATAGACC